ACTACTATGTTGACTCACAAACCAGTGACAAAAAACGTGGTCGATGCTCAGTAATTTCCAAAAAACTCGAAAATCTATGACAACTTCTGTAGAGGGAGCTGTTATAACTGATACAGCTAACTCACAGTGTCGATTCTGCAGATAATAAAAACAGTTTACTATTACTCAAGTTACCTAGTATGCTGACTTTTCCAATCGTGGTGCAACTACGCATTTCAGTGTTCGATGAACCTACTCGAGTTGGATGCATATCAAATATATAAAGGCTTCCACATGAATGTCTAAGAAAAACCTCCAAGATGTATTTAATTAATCTGAAGTCTGAAGATTGAATTTCATCTTCTAACCATTCTGAAAAAGCATAGTTCAAGCTACTACACTGTAGTCGTCAGATTTTCTTCAGCATTGCATTTTATTGTCTAAAGAGCATGTGAATGGCGCTTTGATTATGAGGAATTCTGTGAATCAGATTTACAAACGCATCTGTACATTCACACTCACTTGTTTAAGGGTGATAGCACTTTCGTTCTGTGCCATATCAGCAATTGGAAGCGATAGTACGATGTACGTTGGCTGTTTACGAGAACTGAAGTTGTGGAAAAATCGAAAATTGTTTCACTTGTGTGTGAATCAGCACTTATGTTAGAAGACGTTTAAAATTTCAATAGCATTTTTTCATATTATTGTATGACGTGTTCAAATTCTCATTGAAAAAATGTAAAATCAGTCAGTACCTTTAAAGTCAATTTACGATTGCAAAAGAAACGGGTTATCTATGAATCATTTTATACTGAACTATATATTTGAAGAATGTGTGATATAAAACATTGATCTCATCCATCTGTCATGCTACATTTTAAACCAAAGCGATGGTTAAGCAGTCGATAACACTATACGTTACGAAAAAAGAATAAAGACGCCAAAGTATAAATTGTCTAAAAATGAAAAAATCAAGCAACTATGAACTTTTAAAAGAATTTATCAACAATAGTACAGTCTAGCTGATAATAGGTATGTAGAACAGTTGGATGTGTAGCAGTGCTCTTAGTACATAACATTGACAAATAGTAGTATTATTATAAGATGGTGTTGGTGTTAAAGTCCAAATCAACATTTCCACCTATTTTCTCATATAAAAATCATATTTTTCAAAATAAAGTTCATTAAGAACATTTTAATGGAAAAATAGCTTTTCTATATTATGATATAATGAAAAATTCAAACGAAAAAACTTCTTTGCTACAAATATTGAAAAATTTTCTTCAATGTTATTGCTGTTTCTATGTAAAGCTTGCAGTATTTTACTATCCTTTTCATTGGCAGTTTCAAAGTTGAATTGCAAGTTTTAACAATATTGAAATTCTTGCATCTGTATATGATTCACAGAATCGAACGATGCATCGATTGTTTCTAAATTTTTGTCTTATGTGAAAACAAACTCACACATACTTTTCCACTGCAGAACTGTCAGGTTAAACTAGTATATATCTATATGAATTTTGAACAGTTCATACAATAAAATGAAAAAAAATGTTGTTAGAATTTTCAATACAAGTAATAATTAATAAGTGAGACAATTTTGAAGGTTTTAAATATCAGTGTTTGGAAGCAAGCAATGTATATTGCCTCCTCGCTCCCATTCTTCGAAATTGCGGTGATTCGAGCTGTTCTACTCAACAGCAAAATTTATAGTTGCTCATTAATTTAATAAAGTCAGAAAGTATTCGATAATCATCAACTTTCTGAGTTCCATCTACGGATTGGATGAGATCTGACTTCTAGACAATCTTATCTGATCCGAGTTTCTGATCTGAATATTTTCCCAGACTTAAAATAAAAAGTAAAATGGATTCAGAGTTTTATAATCAAGAGTACTCAACTCAAAAAAATCTTCTCTGCGTAGGAAAACGTCAAATTAAAGGTTGTCATCAGACTAACCATCTGGAAATGGCAAAATGTTCCAATCAATGTTGTTTGTCGACAGCGATATTGAAGTCATCTAGAACTTTGTCAGTCATGTTGAAGTAGACCGTATGGACCAGTCTTTGAGTTTGGATGTCAATTGAAATGTAACTATCATTTCTAAATATTATTCGTAGCTAGATCAAGTCATTAGAGAGCATATATACATTCGCGCTCACGCTCCACATCGAACTTCCTACTATAATTGACGCATTTCGCCATATTGTAAATTAAAATGAATGTCTTCCAAGGAACGACTTGCTTTGTCTTACGAGTCTTTCCTCTTTGAATCAAAGGTGCAAAAATAAATAGCAAGAACTTGTTCGAATCTTCTTTGTATTCGTGGACTTACTTGTCGAAAAAAATGAATCTTTAAATATTTATGTTATAAACTATCCACGGTAGTCATTTCATCATTTTATATGACTCATATAACCCATTTTACAACGTACGAAGAGAAAAAGTGTCGGCTTTATCTTCTAAGTCAGAAAACAGAACTGAAAGAGTTTACTGTTAGCTACGAAATCTTTAAAAATCTTTAGAAACTTGGGTGTGGATGTTGTTGTGGATATCTCTTTTGTTTATAATGACAGGCAAATCCATACTCACACCCACACCCACACCCTTCACCAATGATTCGACTCAACGAAAACATTATGCTGCACTTGTGTTCTCTTTCACTCTAGAGTTATTGCACAACTTCTAGTGATTTTCACCAAAAGTAGGAATCAGACAAGGTGTGTGGATGTGGATATGCATTTTCTCTTTATCTATACCTGCACTCACACCCCAAAGAAATAAACTTTTTCTCGTTTTAGATCGAAATCATGGTCATGGCAGTTTGTCTCATTCGGTTTCGACGTCCAGATGTCAGGCATCAGATCCATTATACGTTTTTATGTAGAACACGTTTATTTGTGAAGTTAAAAACCGATACACTTTAATAGAAATACCAGATATTACATCAAATATTAAGCAAAAAAATGGAATATATCAAAAGATAACACAATACATTTGGAAAATGTATAAGTTAGGATATCAAAGCAAGAAAAACCGGTATAAGAAGACCCCAACAGAAAACAATAGAGAAAATATTTGACAAAAAGAAAGAGAACAAACATATATGAATAATACCTTTAGCATGATTTCTATTTTATAGCAGTGGACATTATCGATATAGATGATTATATTTTTCGCAAACATTATATTCTCTGTGATGACATTGAACTCAATGTGTGATTGACTATAATCATTTTGTTGTAATAGATTTACATCAAATCTGTGCAATCGATTTGGATGCATTTCAGGATGTAAGTTCCTTTACTGAAATGTCATGAAATAAGATGATCACGCTAGTTCTTGACGCCCAGAATTTAATATGGATTAGCTTGATACTGGTTTTTATGAAAAATTTGATTTTGATAGTATCAAGATTTGCTAATTTTCGTAAGTTATCGCATATTCACTTGATTTCAATTGTTTTACTTTCATGAGGAAATCCACTACAGTCATGATAGAACGAATCAAAGCTTGCTTTCTGAACAAAAAATTTCAAAGTGTTGAGAGGTTTCGTTACACATACTCGATCCGAAAAATTTTTGTTGTTGTATCGAAGATAAAGTTTAGTCGTTGACTATTAATGACAACGTAGGGACACATTTTCATCTTGAAATGTTCTGCAAATGTTCGCAATCAAGATATTCTGATCAAGGTATTACTGATTATTTTGGATATTAATTTCGGTTAATTTTGAGTGTACCGTCAGACAAAATGGTTATCAGATCAGTTCACGTCATCAATGTTATAGTGAGGCATGAAGTATACGATGCTAACAAGACCAATTAAAATGCTTCAGTTCGATCTTCTTTTGCTCATATTTTTTTTGTCTTATTAATACCAAATTAGCTGGACAGCAGTATGGGAGAGAGACTAGCCGTCATTTGCTAAAAATCATCCACAAGATCAAAAGTGTGGGTAATACAGAAAAGGGAAGGAACACTCAATTTCAACATATTAATATATAATATAAATATGTTAGCACAATATACTGAAAATTATTATAGAATAGGAAACAGTACAATAATAAAAGATGAATAATAAAACATAACAGACAACTTGTTATACAAAAAAAACGCAATACATAAGTGAAAGTAATTGAGATAGCTCAATTAATAGGCGTTTTTAAACAGAGAATGGTTATTAGTAAAATTTTTTAGTTTTAATCTTACATTTCTTTATTAGTTTGATGAAACTTTGTACACACAAAAAAATGAATGTTTTTGCAGTAAATTGTGATAAACAAAACTTTTTAGAAATGATATTTGGAATTATACGAAGGTGCTGAGTCTGACCGGAAGCCCCAATTCTTTTTCTATCGTCTTGCTTCCATAAAATGATTTTTTTACCACTTATAGTGTTCACATAATTCTAATGAACAGGCAAGTCTAAGGCGTCTCTTTCTTATGTAAAATCAAAATAATCAAAGTCTTGAAAAAATATTTTTCTACTTACAAACAGATTTTTTTGAAGATTTTGATTTCACATGAGATAGCGTTCATTAGCATTATACAAACACTGTAAGTGGTAAAAAAAAAAACATTTTTTTCTGATGTATTATGGAAGCAAGATGATAGAAAAAGAACTGGAGCTTTCAGTCAAACTAAGCACCCCCAGTCTTTGATGATTGAGGATGTACAGACTTTTCTGGCTAGTATTTCCGAGATCATGTCATCATTCAAAGAAAATAACAAGAGAAAAGTCACTCCTGCAAGTTATTACTGTTGTACTGATCTACTGTCAAATTGTATAAAAACAGAAAGGTGAATGTGCATATATTCTAGTACATTTCATTCGATCCATAAAATCTGAAGGAGGCAACACATTGATTGCTGAAAATACATAACGAGAAAGGAAATATGCTACTAATAATGAGATTTATTTAAACAATAATGGGAGCATTGTATAGATGGAAAAGATTTTGATACTGTTCACATATAAATTTTAACCAAAACTTAAAGGTGATTAATTTGAAATGCCTATTAAAGATTTTCTGCAAGTAATTTTACTGTTTTTCCATTATTTAAACTATGAAGAAGGTCCTTAGCAATTTCTCTTGAGCTATAATGATAAACAGCATCAGAATCTTTTAGTGGTCTTGACACTAAAATATGTGTGACAGTTGTAGATTCATTACCACTATGTTGATGTTTATATCTCTGTCCATCTATTTGCACTTGAAAATTAATATAGTCACTATTTCCAGTAAAATTTTGATCATCTAAGCGTACATTATCTGTTTGCTTTATTGTACCCGCCTTAAATGGCTGAGACATAATTACCACTAGTTTATCATGTTCATTCCTTAATTTTTTCATAGCTTCAGGTATTAATTTATATTTTATTTCTTTTTCTAGAACCATCCTGCATTACAGTGATAGGATTGAAGATGTAAAGGTTTTTCTTTGGTGTACCACCTATCATCTGATTACATCTATTCAAATCAATCTCCCATCTGCGTCTCTAACATATTTTTCTGAATGTTTAGCAGTATAACGACGTAGTGATACTCGTTCTTGTCCTATAATATTTTCATTTACTTTCCTACCTAATGATTCATGATAAGCTATTAGCAAACAATCTTTCCGTCCATTGATCTGTATATATGTTTCTGTTCCTCTAACAGTAAAATAATGTCCAATATCTCCATTTTCATCTGCTTCATAATAGATTTTAGTAGATTGTTTAAAAAGAACAGGTATTTTTCTTACTTCTGAAGGATTTATTATTTCTTTTTCGTCAGTATCTGAATTGTAAACAATTATTTTTCTTCTTTTACGATCTGCTAACATTTTTATATCAGCTAGACCTAAAGCTCTATCTTTATCTTTTGCTTCTCTCAAATAACTTGCAGTAATTTGTTTTGGATTTCTAATATTATTTTGTAGATCTTGTCTTTTCGCTCGATCTTGTTATTCTTTCTTTGAATCTTGATTTATTGGAGATTGTTCAACAGCAATTTGACTTTCTGCATGATTTTGTCTATTTTGATTCGATTGTTTCAATATATTAGCTGGATTTTTTTCCATTACATTGTGACTACTTTATCTAATTCTTTTGTTAATTTAGTTGATATATATTCTCTAATGATTCTATTCAATTGTTCTGCTCTTGTTTCGACAAGGTTCTTATTAATGTTTTTTCTATAAATATTCTGATTTTCTTTGGTAGTACCTTCAATAATATCTTTTAAAGTATTAAAGACATGTTCGAACTGTAAGATAGATTGAATTACAGTCCACAACTTATTAATGATATCTATTGCTTTAAGAGTAGTAGCAGCCATTTTAACGTATTTTGAATTTGATTTCTTTAGACCATCAGCAAATAGATGATAACTATTTCTTAAAGAAGATACAACTCGTGTTCGAATACTATCAAATTGTTGAGGTAATAAAATATCTTTTCCTAATGTTATTTCTAATATGTTTTTTCAATTCTTCAAAAGATTTTTCGAACTCTTCTTCATTTTTACTTTGAAGATAAAGAGGTTTCTACTTTATTATTTATTAAATCGATTATCCCTTTTAATAAATGTTCTTCTATTTTACTAACAATCTTTTGTATAAACATTTTCTTGAATCTGTTCCATAATTTTATCCGTCAAAAACTTTCCAATTCCAACAGTCAACATAGAGAGACCGAAGCTAATTGCTTTTTGTATTGCCCATTCTTTCGTATTAAAAATACCTGATATTAAAGCATTGCCTATCTGAGTCAAACCAAAGACTACTAAAACAGCTCCGGCAATGACTTGAACAAGTCCTATCATTGCAACGGCAAAACCATTCCAATCCCACCAAGATTTATCTTCTTCAATAATCAAAAATTTATTAAGATTAAAACCTTCAAAAAATCTTAATTCACTTGGAACATTTTCTTGATCTTGAAGATCTATAAAATCTTTTAAATTAGCTTTTAAACCTGTTTTAAATGAACGAATATCTCCTTGTAAAGACAAAATTTTCGACAAAATTAATTCTTTATCATTTTCAAATTGAATATTTTTTAAAATTTTATTTAAAATTCTTTCAATATTTCTTTTTATATCTCCATATTTATATTTAACAAGTCCACCAGACTTTAAAATATTTTTTTTCTTTTTGATAAATTCGAATATTATTTCCTTCTTCTTCTTTAGTAGTAAATGGTAAATCTGTGTTGATAAAAATATTGATTTTGTTGACTAATATTATCTTTTAATTCTATTAAAAATGTTTTAAGATCTTTTGTTTCGTGACCATTACCATTAAATTTAATTTTTGCATATTTTCCTTTCTATTGATTGTTCAAATAGAGAAATATTAACTTGTTGTGGATCTTTTTTATCTTCTAAATCTTTCCAAACATTTTCATATATCCGTGGTAATTCTTTTTCTATTCTATTTATATTTAAAATTTGCCATAATTCTTCACTATAACAAACAATATCGTCGAAATCTTTTTTTTCAAAAGAAGATTTACTATTTAATAAACCAATTAATGGATCGGTAATCGAAGGATCAAGATCATTTCGAATTATCTTTTCTATTTTATCTCGTTCTTGTGAATTATTTCGAAATATTTTTCTTATTGTATCTCTTTGAATAATTTCATGTTGAACTAAAAGTGAATATAATTCTTTTCCTTTATCTTGATCTTCACGAGTTAAATTTTGTTCATCTTTTGAATGTAAAATAAAATGAAATGGTTCTACTGTATCTCCAACAGCTTCTAATTTTCCTGTTATTTAATCTTGATAAAAATTTTCTTTTGAAGAAATTTTTTTGAAGGGTGTTGGTGTGGGTAGGGTCTTCTCTTTATCTACACCCACACCCAAATTTGAACTTAGCTCTACACTATTAGAAAGCCTAAAGAGAAATCTCTGATCAAAAAGCACTTTTTCCTGGAAACGAACCTTCTTCAAAATAAAAGGCAAAGCAACCAGACTATTTAATTTAAATTGATTACAATAGCTTATTTTCCACATTAATCGTTTGAATAAGAAAACAATTATTAATGTCTTCATTTAATTTACTAATTTAATCAAATAAATAACAGACACAACAGATATACAAAGAGGTTAATATAAAAAAATCATATTGGATTTCTTCATATGAAAATACTGGCAAAGAGTTCGTCTGTCTTCACATAGAAATTCAAAAATTATTTCCTCTTATGCAACCATGATCATATGACGCCTGATCTGTTGTACCTAATCATACTAATTGAATCTTGCGGTCAACAGTACGTATGAGTAAGATTTCTGGACTAATGACTATTTGAATTGAACTGAGGTCATTTGAAAAAAGAAATATAAATTAAATTTGAATAAATATTAGAACATAAAGAAAATTGTTTATGAATCTTATCAAAAGACTCATTGTTTAATA